AAACAACACACAGAAAAAACAAGATGACATCTCCATGTCCCCCCAGAGAGTCCTGCTCTCATACCTGGAGCTTTGGCAGTGATTGGATCATGAGTGGGTGATACTGGACCAGTCCACTGATTGGTTTATCACTGTTCTGGTGTTCTGGTGATGGATTTAAAGAAAGAGAAGACCCAACCTGGATGTGGGTGGAACCAATCAGTGGGATTATTGTTGGAATGGAATAGAAAGGGAAAAAAGAAGGAAGCTGTGCTGCTTCCTGCCTGTCTTGCCATCAGCTGTTTCTCCTCTGCCATGCCCCTCTGCATTCATCCTGCCTTAGAGTCAGCTAAATGTGGTCTAAACCATTCCACTTTAACTGTGGGTATCACCCATTTTACCCTACAAAGAGAAAGGAACAATGACCACAAATCAAAGTAAATATATGATATAAATATTTAGTAACCAATAAATGAAGATCCTGTCTCCATTGTCTGGCTTATTTCATTTAACATGATTCCCTCTATATCAATATATATTCCTTCAAATGACAGAATTTTTTTCTGTTTTATGAATGAATAATAACCTCTTGTGTATATATACTACAGTTGCTTTGTCTATTTTTTATTTTAAAGAGGAAAAAATAACAAATAACAAAGAGAAACAAAACAGCACAAAAACAATAAAAATGATACAGAATTTCAAAACAAGATGATAGGAATTAACAATGGTTGTTATATTACATATTGTTATCTTCAATGATGTTGCTCAGATTAGAGATACAAGAATGCAAGATTGATCAAATAATTAAAAAGAATAAAAAGTAATAAAAAACATCAAAAACTATTCAGAGCTTCACTAAACAAGATGCTACAAATTCAATAATAGTTGTTATATTGCATATTGTTGTTTTCAGATTAGTTGTTCAGATTACCAGATATAAGCATGCAAAATCGGTCAAAAAATTTAACCATTAACTATTCCTTCCATAAACCAATAGACATCAGCAGTACAAATATCTCACCTAGCCTTGAATATACATATATATTTTTCCCTTGCTTCTTTCTTTCTTTTTTTCTCTTCCTTCATCCCAGTTGTTCTATCCCTTTGAGCAATTGCTTTCCCTTTCACGATATCTATTGTACCTTCCAGGTTTTATTTACTCTTTCAGATTCTTAAACTACACAGACAGTACAACATTTACACATGCGGGTCTAATTTATTTCACTTATGAGTATGGTCTCTAGTTGCATCCATTTACCTATAAAAGCCTTAAAC